CTTTTCTGCAGTCTTCCAGTTGCAGCGAACTTTTTGATCCACAGTAACCGCAACCATGGCATACTATGAAATGATAATCAGATTAACTAGAAACAGGAGTTTTCTCTCAGAAAATAAACTATAACAGTTAGTTCTTAGAAATGAATTGCCTTTTTTATGAGTGATGAAATATTTATGTAAGCAGTTGAGAAATTGGATTTGGATGATATACAAAAAAGTTCTGAATGGTTTATGAGATAAAGATTGCAAAATTGCTTGCGACGTTTTCCGAAACAACAAGTGACGGATCAAAATGCATGTGACCCCAAGTAGACACCGACCGTTAGTTGTCCATGTTTCTTCGCTACGTCTTCAATACGGCTATCTGAGAGTTTCAGAATGAGTGATCGACTAGAAATTCTGTTAAACGTACCGTCCACGGTAAAATACATACTATCAGTAGTATCTAAGAAAATATAACGGTTCGGCTTGTTGCTGTTTTGTATGAAGAATGAGTAAATTGATTGATACAAATATGAAACTGTTCGAGATGATTCTTCCAATGTCAAACAATTTTACAGTTCGTTTGAGTGAATGGAGCGAAAATTCGGCTTTTCGTATTTTTCGAAGTTTGCCAAAGCCGTCTATATTATTCTGCGTTCAGAAAAATAGTCTGTAATGAGCCGCATGGAAAACGCGACAATTCGCAAGCGCACAGTTTTAAAAGTAGATAAAAAGATCGAAAACCTTTTCCATCTAGGCCGAAAAATGTGCACATTATATTACTAACTGAAGTAGTATTAATCAGTATTAACTGAAAGTTCGTTTCCAAGAAGAACCTATCATACTTTATTTTCGAAACGAAAACGCCCTCGAGTTTTCACTTAGAAAGAATAAGAATATTAATTAAAAATAAATATTAATTATAAAATAAATTATATTAATAACTTATATTAATTAGTTTTTTACCCGAAAATAAACTATAACATTTTTCTTCGAAAGGCTTTTGCTTATTCTGTGATTGAACAAATATTTATGTAAACAGTTGAGAAAATAGTTTTTTCGTGATATAAAAGGAAAGTCTCAATCTTGAATGAGAGAAGGATTGAAAAGTGGCTTACGACTTTTTCTGAAATGATGATGTTTGTTTGAGTTTTCTTTTACAGAAAAGATGCTTACGGTAGGTCAGAAGAAACAGGAACCAACAGAGCAAAGTATAGGTATTCCACTTCAATCTGAGACGTGCTTCAAAACAGTGAATGTCAACGACTTATACGATGTTGATAAGTATAATTTAGGAAAATTAGATCTTGACTCACTCTATAACCTTCTCGAGTAAGCTGTGTTTGTGTCAAAAATGTTCTTTTATATCGAACTCTACGTGGTTCTAGTGCCGATGCTAACGGTCTTAGCGATGAACAAGTGGCTGATCGTCTTCAGAAAGTAAGTTATAAACCGCATAAGACCAGGGTAGTGTATATGCATTTCTGTATATGTAGTTTGGCCCAAATAAAATTGAACAAAAAGAACGTAGCGCCATTATACAGTTTTTATTATTTATGTGGAATCCTCTTTCCTGGATTATGGAAATAGCTGCTGTTGTGTCGATTGCGCTGAGTAATGGTGAGGGGCAACCTCCAGATTGGCAGGATTTCATCGGTATCCTTTTTCTCTTAATAATTAATTCTGTAATTGGATTCGTTGAAAAACGTCGAGCTGGTAATGCTGTTAAAGCTCTGATGAAATCACTTGCTCCTGAATGTCAGGCTAAACGTAATGGAAAATGGGTGACAATCGATGCAAGTCAACTAGTGCCAGGCGATATCGTCAGTATCAAATTAGGGAACATTATACCGGCTGATGCACGCATTATATCGACACCTGGTGGCTCAATAGCTGTTGATCAAGCAGCACTGACGGGTGAATCTCTACCGGTGAAGAAGAAAGTAAGCGATGAAGTTTTCTCATCAACCATATGTAAACAAGGTGAAGCAGAAGCAATAAGTAAGTTGTCTGTTCTCTGTCTTCTACTAATAAGCATAAGGTATTGTTTTAGTCGTTGGTACGGGTATTAATACTTTTTTCGGTCGTGCTGCTAAAATTGTTGGTGAAGCTGGTGATGAAGCAGGGCATTTGCAAAAGATTTTAGCGAAAATTGGTAATTTTTGTATTTGCGGTATTGTAATATTCATCGTAGCGGAAATACTAGTCATGTATGCGGGTTTTCATTACTCCTATCGTCGTGGTATCAACAATATTCTTGTTCTATTAATTGGTGGTATACCAATTGCCATGCCAACTGTTCTGTCGGTTACTCTGGCACTCGGAGCGAAAGAACTATCCGATCGTAAAGCCATTGTCACACGAATAACAGCAATTGAGGAGTTAGCTGCTGTTACCATTTTATGTTCAGATAAAACGGGAACTCTCACTCTGAATAAATTGACTATTGATATACCAACAATTGTTCGATATTCCACTGTAAGTGCCGAAGATATTATCCGCTATGCTGCTTATGCTTGTGCACCCCAGAATCATGATGCAATGTAAGTCTTTCTCTTACAATAACTCCATGATTATCAGTGTTCGCTTGTTCCAGTGATGCGTGTGTGCTTAGCTCATTCAGCGAAGTTAATTTCATACGAGATGGTATTGAAGTCCTATCATTTATCCCATTTGATCCAGTTAACAAACGAACAGAAATTACCTATCGACAACTATCCAACAGCATCATTCATCGTGTAACTAAGGGTATGTCGGATACAGTTCTAAATTTGTGTACAAAGGACAAAACTGATGAGCAAGTAAGAAAGCTGAAATCTGATGTTGAGAGACATGCGCAACGTGGTTTTCGATCATTGGCCGTTGCTTTGGATGATGATGGTGGTTCTGGATATAAATTGATTGGATTGTTACCAATAATGGATCCGCCACGAAAAGACACGTCCGAAACAATAAAACGTGCACAAGAGCTGGGTGTCCAGGTCAAAATGATTACGGGTGACCAACTGGCCATAGCCATAGAGACTGGTCGACGTCTCGGCATGGGTACCACAATGTTTGTTTATAATCTTCTTAGAGAAGATAATCTATTATCCGAATATAAAACAATAGATGATGTGATTGTGCACGCCGACGGGTTTGCTGGTGTTTATCCTGAACACAAATATGAAATTGTACAACGGTTACAAAATTTAGGACATTTTGTGGCAATGACTGGTAAGCATCTTAAAGATGAGTAGAAACCACGCTTTGGTTATGATAAACATCGTTTAGGTGATGGTGTTAATGACGCACCGGCTCTGTCCAAATCGAATGTTGGTATTGCTGTTTCCGATGCGTGCGATGCTGCACGAGCAGCATCTGCCATTGTTCTCACTGAACCAGGTCTCTCAGTTATCATCGATGCGATTCTTGGTTCAAGACAAATCTTCCAGCGTATGACCAGTTACGCCATATACACATGTTCAGTCACCATCCGAGTTATTGTTGGGTTTGCCATCCTCGTTTTTGTTTTTAAATACGATTTTCCGCCATTTATGATTTTGATTATGGCTATTCTCAACGATGGTACAATAATGACAATATCCAAAGATCGCGTTCAAGCATCACAAACACCAAATAAATGGAATCTATTTGAAATATTTACTTATGCTATTGTCTATGGTCTCTATATGTCTGTATCAACTCTAGTCTTTTTTGCTGTTATTGTCAAAACAGACTTCTTTCAACGAACATTTGGTCTTGAAACATTTCAGCAAAACGACGATGGATACAATAATCCAATTCTACATACAATCATTTATCTTCAAGTATCAACAGTTAGTCAAGCATTAATATTCATAACAAGGTCGAGAGGATTCTTTTTCAGTGATCGGCCTGCAGTTATATTAGTCTGTGCATTTTTAATTACACAAATATGTGTGACGTTAATTGCGGTGTATGCTGATTGGGATTGGACAAACATAAGAGGATGTGGTTGGACTTGGGCAGGTATGTGTGAATTTATATAGAAAAGTTTATGGATCAGTAGAAAAAATTAAACAAGAAAACATAGATAACCTCCTCTTCTCCTACGACCACTGAATTTAATAAGTACTTTCCTAATTTATCTGATACACCATTTAGCATATTAAAAATGTGATGCAGTGTTATTTGGTATTTATAATTTTAAAAACTAGATTAGTGCATCAAAAAATTCGTTCGTTTATCACGTTCCGAATTAGAAAAGGGAGAAAGTATTTTACTTAATAATAATGATCGAGTTGCGGTAAAGGAAAGATTACACATAATCCAAGCATTATATAAGAGAAGCCGTCAAAAATAGTAGAATGCATAGAACGTAGACGCAGACTATATTCTATGCGTCGAAAAGTCTACGCGTAGAATATATTTTTCTATGCATTAATAAGATGAATATCATTCTCTCGCCTTTCTTTTTCTCTTATTTTGCAGAAAGAGAAAGAGCGAAAGATCTATTATAGGTACATAATGGAAGAAATTTTCGTTTTCTGTGATTGCAAATCCAGTTTAATCTAAAGCTGAATGTTATTCTCTATCGAACGAAATGGAAGAGAATAACTTTTATCTTTTAGCCCAAATGATTTATCTACTCTTCTGCAAAAGGAAAATATCGCTTATTCTGAGTTCCATGCAAAATCGCTCAACTTAACGAGTTAAACAGACTCTAAATTAGTTAGAGAGTATTCATCCCTACTTTTCATCCCATCTAAAAGGGAAAATGTTCGACAACCCGTTGAGCCGTTTTTCAGAAATAGGGACCGTCTGGTTTTTGAGCTATAGAACCACCGCTATCACTGCACAGCTTCATCAAAAAATAGAATTTCTATTCTTATTTAGTAGTTACACCACTTTTAAATCGACTTTTTTCCACTGCCAAGACTATGTATTTTTCAACGCAGAGAATATTATCTGCGTTTACGTTCTACGCATTCCATTATTTTTGACGGCTTCGATAAAGTGATAATACAAACTAAAAAGTAAACGAAAAACGCCAGATGTTACTGAGCCCTTTGTTACAGTACGTATGTGTCTGGTTTCTTTCAACTGCGCTTACTTATTTCAGGTATCGTGTGGATTTGGAATATAATTTGGTTTTTTCCCTTTGATCTTTTGAAATTTGGTCTACAAGCATTGTTTGCAAAAAGTACAACAGTCGTCAATCCATTTCAATGGCGTCGTCGACGTTCCATTTTTCCAAGCCCGTCGTTCAAAGTACGACCATCAACAACAACATCCGGGGCAGAAACAACAATATTGAAAAGGTTGTCAATAGTCGGTGCAACATATTATGAACCATATACAGATATGCCATCAGATTGAAAAACGTTGTCCTCATTGCAAGCACAAAGTCGGCGAGCATCGAACATCTTTTCATTGACTAATAGTAATAAATAGGAAGTTCTTTTAGTTTTTTTTCAATAAACTTATCTTCTAGAATTTGTATTTTTATTTCACTTTTTGAATGATTGAGAAACGTTTGTAAAGGGAATGTATACGCGTCTGCTAAGTGTTTCAGATGACAGAAACTATTTATCGTAGATTGAAATGGAAATCTACACGGATAGCTATTATGCTTGTAGTGACATTTGCATTAGCATCAATTGAATTTATATATGGACTCTGTTTACGTTCTCCACTGTTAATATCAAATGGTTTGTTTTCATATGCTGAATCACTAGCATTAATCGGCAGCCTCATTGTTCTTCGGTACACCAACCATCATCGTCGTCGAACAACGAAACATAAAGGAAACACATTCGGTTATCAACGTTTGGAACTGTTAACGGGACTATTACAAGAAATATTTCTGATATCCTTATGTTTAAGTATAATTATCGATTCCATTAATCGCTTAATTTATGCACAGCATAACTTGAATGATCATTTACGTGCAATTATAGTGTTAGGATCAGTTGGTATATTTATTGGTCTTTTGGGGATATTTATGTTCCATTCATATCGCCACGATCATAGCATTGAAAATGAAATAAAACAACAACAAAATCAACTCAGTGGTGATGGTCATGACGATAATGATAACAGACATGAATATGAAGAAGAAGAAGAAAAAGAAGAATTAAAAATCTACGCAACATTACATGCGTTATCATTACACTCATTTGTGAGTCCATATATATAGTTCTAAAATGTATATTTAGCTGTTTATTTTAGGCAATATTCCTAGAATCTTGTATACTATTACTATCTGGTTTGTTGGCACAAGTCTTCGGGAAGGAGATGAATCGCTTCATCAATCAGCTAAATCCAATATTAACAATACTAATGGCAATCATCATCATTTGTCGTGCATTGCCGGTAATATGGTCGTTGAGCCACCTCTTCTTGGAATGTGTTCCAAACGGAATAGAAACCAAAGAACTGATGAAAGAAATCTTACATCATGTACCGGAGATAATATCCATACACAACATGCACGTTTGGAGGTAATTAATCGTTCCTGTCTTCATCATGAAATTATATCTGTTGCTATTATTGTAGAGTTACGTCGCAAGATGTGTATGCCACCATACACCTAGTCTGTAAAGAAGATCTATTGTTAAGCCAGTGTTTTGAACTCTATGGGCGACCAATGAAGAAAATATTCAAAAAGCATTGCATACACAATTTCAATATACAGTTTGAATACAATCAGAATGTGAATAGCAGCAAACAGCATCAGCATCATCAATGTCTCTACAAACAACGACAACAACAAAAATCTTCATGCAAAGGACATGATCTTATTAATACTGACAGTCCTCGTCAACCATAAATCGATACTTTCATACACTTTTGGTCTTGCTTGCTTGCGACCAGAAATCACTCATGTCCATGTTGGATCCAGTTAGACAACAAATATCCAGCACATCCTTCAAGCAGCATACTCTAAACACAAGCAGCTTTTGTTCATATTTTTCTAATATCTCTAACTCAGAGATATTAGAAAAATATGAACAAAAGCATGCTGTTTGAAGGATGTAGCGGAATATTATATATATATCTGTGGAACCTATGGACCTTTTTCCTGAATCTGTAGCACTCCTCTGCCGTTAGGTTTTCACACTTACACGCTCGCGCCAACTCACTCGCTCACGCACAGACACAGACAGGAAGTAAATTCAAAGCAACACAGAATAAACAAAAGGAACTGAAGAATTTAAATCTAAGTCTGAAAAATAGTTGTAAAAATGATCATAGTGTAGAAACTGAAATAAATCAATATGCGACGTCAAAACGGCGTCGATCTTACGAAAGGCAACCGTTTCGACGATGGGTGATGGTTTTGGGTTGGAAAGCCCAAGGGTGACGAATCAACCGGTCTTTTATGCGAAGAGTATTGCAAAATACAACGCTCTTCGAGACCATCGACCGCCATCGCCGGATTTTTCATCTAAAACTAGCGTACTTCCTCCATCACCCACATTACCAATCCATTCTAACTGTTCGAACAACACCATCTTTTGCACGCCATCGTCACTCAATTGATTACAATGATCTTCTGCTACTGCCATTTCTGTTCTTTTGTTTTTTCCCTTTTCTTTTGCTTTTTTTCTTCTTCTTTACTTTAATTTAATTATAATGGATGAATCACGATGACGATGATGAAGAGGTACAAGAATGTACTTTTATTTATTTTGTTTTTCAATAGAATAATATACTAGTAGTTACCTATAGTTATCTTACTGGTTAGACAGAGAGAGAGCACAATAATTACTTTTCATTGCATGTGTATCTGACCTCGGACAAATCACAGTAAAACTTAGAGCTCGAATATTTCCAGGAGTTATCTTAACATTAAGGGTGAAAGAGTAGGTGTGCATGCATCTCGGATTTCCTCCGCATTTCTAATGATACAGACTTCGAAGTGGTGTCAGAAACGGTTTCGACTGTCCAAACGAAAATATATGACCAGGAAACCGGCTCGGTCAGAAATGTATTGATCGGCTACCGACCTGATCGAGAAAATCTTGACCAGTTACATCTATGGACGAACCCAGTCACGACTGAACAGACCTGATAGAAAAAAGGAAGCCAAGTCTATTGAGTGGGAGAAATCTATCTTCTCCGATCTCCCCCTTTACTTTGGAACCGCTGATTTACTTACAGAAAATGCGATTTTATAGTCTTGAATGGATGTTCCCAAGCGTGCAGTTCTCGAGACAATCACTCGGTAAGTTTCATCTCCAGTATATACTTTGAAAGTCATCAAAATACTTACTAATTCTATCTTCAGAAGAGGTCACTCATCCGGTCCAGTATATCTAGAAGAAAGAGCAGCATATAGTATAATTCTTTATTAGCGACGTAGCGCATAGAGAAAGGATGATCATTCTAATGAAAACCTTGATTGTAAAATAAATTTATAAAGTTCAAAACATTACATCTACTTTCCACACATTCTTACTAGGGTTTTGTTAATTTTTTTCAAGCTGTAAACAGGCATCTGAAAACGGATCATTTGTAAGCATCTTTAACTAATTCTTCTAAATCTGGAGATATTAAACTTATTATATTTTGAATTGATGAATGTTTATGTTTCATATCACGTAATTTATCTGTCTTTAGTTCTGGATTCAAACAGGTGACACAAAGACATGTCTAAAAAAACGATAAAAATTATATATCGAGTGTAGTTACTTACATCCCCGGAATCACGATTTGGTTTCATTATATAATCAGGTACATGCGTGTAAATGTTGTATAATCAATGTCAATACCAGTTTCAGCTTTGAATCGTTGCTGAAATTCAAAAATGTCGTATAAATATTAGAAAAAAACTCGATGGTACATAAACAAATGCTCATTGTATATTGTCAGCTCTCCTATCCTTCGTAAGTCTGAATAATGGGAAAACTCTAGAAACTAGGTCTACCCAGGCCCGTTAGTGGATGATATCACTCAACGAGGAGATAACAGGAACCACAGTAAAAAATACCTAATGAAAAGCGATCGAGTGTGAAAAACGAATATCAATGATAATACGAATATATTTGAAAAGATGTAAAATACGAATGACTAACAACAAGTCAGACTGACAGACTAAGAGATTATATATATATAAGACGCGAAAAAACTAGAACAAAAAATGAACATATATATAATCTATATGTGTATAGTAAAGGAAAATTGAAAAATAAAAAATAAACTAAACAC